TGCTTGGGGAAGGAATTCAAACGACGTCATTTGAAGAGAAATTTGCCATCAAGAAATTTATGTCATGCTTATTCATTTGGTGGGTCTCATCTTCTTTCTATTTTGGCAGTTTTCGTGAAACTCTCAATCAACACAAGGAATTAAAACTAAATAATAACTCAAAGCCTGCTATAATAAAAATAGTTGTAATAAACTGCCAAACTAAAAGCAAAATTATAATGAAAAATGCATTCAATAATTTTTTTCTTCCCATAAAATACAAAACGAACTTCTCAGATATTGCCAACCAATGAGCTACTGAAAGCTGCCTCTCAGCTGCCATCTACAATTTTCAACAGAAAGGTGGAGTCCGGAAAGCAACAGCAAATGCAATGCATTTCAAGCTGCTTCATGTCAATGCAAGAAAATATAACAAAAAAAACATTACAATCTGGAAAATATCAAAATAGCATTAAAATCCGGAAAGCAACAGCAAATGCAATAAGAAATGACCTTATGGCAATGAATTGCCATTGAACATGTAAATGTTATTCCCTTACAAGAAGAATTTAATAATAAAAAAAAGTAGTCTTTATAAGCCTCAAAATGCATACATTTCAACTAATAGAATTATTATTATTGAAACCGAAATGTGATATAAAATATTTGGATGGTAGAAATACGAAAAATAAAATTTATGTGTTTAGTACGTATATATCAAAAAGGGGCTTGCACTCATCCTATAAAATCCTAACGGTCCAAAACAGAAGAACATGATGGATGCAGATTCACCAGAAAGAGATCGTGAAGTCGGCCTAGCCGAACAAACCAAGTCAAAGGAGCCAATTCAACTAGGCCAAAGCCACCTGAGATAAAAAACGGACAAAGAAATGACTAAGCGATCCAAGTACAAGCCATTCGACTGAAAATGAAATAGAATAGCAACCAAATCATCTACTGCAAGAAAGCGAACTCGAATCAATAGCCTACCCCACAGTATCCAATGAAAAAGTTAGTTGGATACTGCTTGAGAAGAGTAGATCTCTAAAAGACCGAAAAATGATTGCCTTTGATGATGGATTTCACTGTCATGGCTTGCATGTAAGGGACACAAACATATGACACAATTCTATATATTTACATATATAAAACCAAAACATTCGAATTACATGCACACCCCTTAAATTTTCAACAGTAAATAAAAAATACAAGATTTCAAAATCATGGCTTATATATATGGAACATTTACATACATATCACAACAATTCTTTTTACATATATAACATCTAAACATTAAAATTTATAAGCACAACACTTAAATATTTAACATCAAATAAAATATGCCAGATTCACCGTCATGGCTTATATATGTGGGACATATACATACAATACAATTCTTGGGTCATATCTAACACCTAAACACTCATATTTACGTGCATACCACTTGACTTTTTAACATCAAATCAAAATTCCCTCACTTACTTCTATCAACAATAGAGTCATTAATAGTGACGATTCGATATCTCAAAATTGCTAATGTATAGCAGGTAAAAGCTAATATAAATTGAAACTTATATAAAGGAAAAATGGAAATAACAAGCCATCTAATAGCAGTTGGGCTAGGCAAACAACAGCGGAATAAGAATCTGTGCCTTTGGAGATGTCCATGGAAAAACCTTGCTCCAGCGACGTATCTCATGTTGCTTAGCTTGCTCTTCCAAATGCAGCAGTTCTGCTAAAGCTGGACTTACTTCGCCTATTTGTGGACCCTGCCCCTTAACACTTTTTCTCCTTCTCCGAACCTTCGAGGGAGAGGATGGAAGAGGAAGGAGGCCGATGGGCTTCCTTTCGACGGGAATATAAAGGAAGAAGAACTAACGAGAACGAGTTGAACTGCCACCAACGAACGAACGCGAGAGAAAGAGAGGGGAAGGAGCAGAGCATCATTTCGCATAACAACTCAAATGAATCAGACCTTCGATCGAAGGGCGGCCGAGTAAAAATGGGGTGGCGGAACGCGGGCCCCAGGCTCGATCCCACGGTCGGCTTTCGGCGAAAATTTCACCTGCATTAGCCGCGAAGTTCTCCTCCCGCGCCCCCAAACAGAAGACGTCCGCGGCGGGGTGCCACGAAGCTATCCAGCCGAGCCCCCAAACATACCCTCTATGTAGTATGGTGGTTTTAGAATACAGCCTTTCCTCCCTAAACCTATATTTGTTATAACTCTATGCATTAGACATGGCCTTAGTCTACCTAGGAAAAAAAAATGTTCTTTTAATTATGTTAGTCATTTGTTGCCACTTGCAGAGAAAGAAAAATCATGTCCCTTTCCCTCACCAACAAAAGGATAGTTTTCTTATATTGAGTTTTACTAGCTACAATGCTTTTACACGAAAGAACTCGAAAGAAGAAAAAATATATATATTTATATTGTCCAGAATATCTAATTTTAACTCTCTTTCTTCCTCAGCCTCTTGATTCGAGTGGCTAACCCCACAAAAACCCCCGCCAACACACCGACAAGCCAAATTGTTCATGTGTTGCTGGCCAAGCTCCCAAAGTGAACCTATTTGTCAAACTTTGAATGATTTGGGCATCCAATTTACAACCAATGTGACATGGAGAATTCCCTGTGGAAATGAGGTGCACACAAGACATGTAACTATTATAACCTTTTTATCAGCTCTGATCTGCTCTCTTGGAGTTGTGTTATCAAGCATATATTATTCTGAAAAGAACAAAGTAAAATGTAATTATCATAATTGAGCACTCATACTTCTTATCTCCTATAAGTTCCTATAAGTTGTATAAAATTATCTTCATTTGATATGTAAAATCTTTGATTTTGAATATTTGAACAATGATAGAAGAGAACATAGGCGTCCGTTACTCCCTTTTCTTCCTTGCAAGCTTCCGAGTTGCAGCATCTTAAGCTAGCTTGCACGGAGATGCAATTGCTCGACTGTGTCCTCTTCTTCCCACAGTCCATTGACACAGTCAGCTCCCGAGCACAGGTATTACTTGGCCCTGCTCTTTTTTTTCTCACTTTCGATCAACATAGTTAGCTCCCAAGCAACAAGCATTTCTGGCATGTTAAGTGGTTTGATACTTATTTGGATTTATTATCAGTAAGCAGTAACATGCTTTTATGTTTCTTGGGATGCAACACAAAGTATAATAGTAATCAGAACAGGGTTCTTAACCCTCATTGTATATTAATTTATCTAAATAATTCGACAAGTCTAGCAAAATAGTAAGAATAAAACTGCATATAATAATGATGATGAGTTTACAAATAATCTACACTTAATTTTAAATAGAGATATTTATGGAAGAAAAGCGAAAAAAGATGTGCTTCTTCGACAAAAGTAGAGCAGCTCCCTATATTATGAGAACAAAAGTGTAGGCAGCAGATAGAGAATTGCGAGGAAGCAGCAGCAGCAGTTTTACATAAAATGAGAATGAATTGTATGAATTTTATATGAAAGAAAATCGATAATACTTGAAACTTCATGACCAAGCATTTTTACTTATCAGTAAAAAGCAAATAATTGAGAAGTTGTAAGCTTTTCTTGATCACAATTTTGAACCATTGACAAAAATCCAAACCGAATGAACCATAATCCAAGCATTGACCAACCATTGGATTTTAATTCGGTCTGACCAAAATACAAATCGAATTAACCATTGAAAAAAACCATTTTCTCATGGCATGAGAACAAAAAAAAAAGCAAAAGAAATGAGCCTTGTAAGATTCTTAAGATAAACATGCTCCACAAAAACATAAAATGAGAATGAATTGTTTGAATTTTATATGAAAGAAAACCGATAATACTTGAAACTTCATGACCAAGCATTTTTACTTATCAGTAAAAAGCAAATAATTGAGAAGTTGTAAGCTTTCTTGATTACAATCTTCAACCATTGAACAAAATCCAAACCGAATGAACCAAAATCAAAACTGAATGAACCAACCATTGGATTTTAATTCGGTCTGACCCAAATACAAATCAAATTAACCATTTAAAAAGCCACTTTCTCATGGCATGAAGCTTGCCAGACCAAAAAAAAAGCAAAAGAAAGGAGACTTGTAAGATACTTAAGATAAACAAGCTCCACAAAAATTTTTGTATACCCAAAACCTTCCACAAGAGGGGAATAAGAATAAATTGTCATAAAAATTTTGTATACCCAAAACCAATTTCATATTAGGAGGCCTCCCTTCGTTTCTTTCACCAGCAAAAGTAATCATGTTAAAATCTGCTCCAACCAACCATGGATTACTAATACCAAAATTAAGAAAAATCAATTGATTTGAAAGTTCCATTTTTTCAAGTTTATCACCACCTGCATAAACAAGAAAGCAAAACATCTTTGACATATTTTAAACCTCTAGTTATCCTAGAGGAGGACAAAACATCATTCCATTCTCCACTAACAGGTAAAAATGTCAAATTCTTGCTGCTTAGCTGATAGAAATGCAAGTGAGAACAGAAGGTTTTAAACTAATATAAAAAGTCCCTAAACAAAAATGCCAACATGTTCACAGTGAAGCTTCTATAGTACTCTTTTAACAGCTACCCAATAAAGGAACCTCTCATGCTAAACCAATTAAGAAAACCAACTTTGAGCACTCAAATAAAACCATTTCCATATCTAGGTACATTCCATTTGAGAAATAGCATTCAAATCAAACCATTTCCAAGGGTGATCAGCTTATGCGCAATGCTATAAAAGAAATAGCATTCTAAAGATTAAAGCAAGCTCTATTTCCCACATTCTGATAAGTCTTAAGTCCTCTCAAGAGGCAAGACTGCTTCCATACAGAAAGCCAAGTGAGGAGAAAGCCTATTGCTAAAGTCTGGAAAATTTCCAAGGAGAAAGCCTTGTAAATTTTCCTACATTTGTTACATAAGAATTACTTTTCAAATCATTCGCACTTCGGCTACTGGACTACTTGACCAAATAAATAATGAGAACTTCTATAGATAATAGTACCATTATATATATATATAACACGTCTTCGTTAGTTACAGAGAACCATGGCCAGCACCAAATCCGCTAACTGGCACATACAACATATTAGGAAGAAGATGTTTCCTAATATAAGCACGCCCCTTCTTTAATCTGCCCGCATTATGTTCTCAAACCAAACACGTCTTCGTTAGTTACAGAGAACCATGGCCAGCACCAAATCCGCTAACTGGCACATACAACATATTAGGAAGAAGATGTTTCCTAATATAAGCACGCCCCTTCTTTAATCTGCCCGCATTATGTTCTCAAACCAAACAAGTCTTCGATAGTTACAGAGAACCATGGCCAACACCAAATTCGCTAACTGGCACCTTCTTCCGGAAAATCTCCTAATCTCCATCGCAGAGAAACTATTCATCGCCGACATCATCCGTCTCCGAGTCGTCTGCAAAGATTGGGGATGGTCACTCGGATGGCCGCACAAAGGCTGGCCGACTCCACCTCGATTGCGTGCATCCTTCATTCCCATCCCCCCATCGGTTCCATGGCTTCTCCTTCCAAACAAGGAAGGCGAGGATGCAGACTATTGTTCCTTTCTCGACCTCTCCAACGGACAAGTCCGGCGAATTCACCCCGTTCCGGAGATTGCGGGGCGCCGTTGTGGCGGGGCTTCCCCGGACGGATGGCTGGTGACCGTCGATCTCGAACTTAATCCTCGCGTGCTGAACCCTCTCACCCGAGAAGAGCTCCCTCTGCCTTCCCTCTTCTCCCTCTTCCCCTCTCCGGGTACGGTCCGTGTTCTTCGTGATGTCGCCCCGTCCGGGAGCTGGGGGGCCGCCGTTGTGTCGGGGCTTCCCCGGACGGATGGCTGGTGACCGTCGATCTCGAACTTAATCCTCGCGTGCTGAACCCTCTCACCCGAGAAGAGCTCCCTCTGCCTTCCCTCTTCTCCCTCTTCCCCTCTCCGGGTACGGTCCGTGTTCTTCGTGATGTCACCGATGGCTTGTTTACAGTCTTAGACAATGGACCTTACATTACGGAAATTTGGCGCACAAAGAAGGCCTTTCGTGACGAGTATATTATAAAGGTCGTCCTGACTTCTGCTCCACCTTCCGGCTTTGCGGCGGTCATTTATGGTTGTAATCCGTCGAAGACCCACCTAGCTTTAGCGAGAGTAGGAGACGCATCATGGACCCCTGTTCAGTTCGACTCAAAACTACAGTCTGTAGAGGATATTTTTTATCACAAAGAGAAGGATAAACTTTTTGTTGTAACCTCATTAGGCTCTGTGTTCTGTTCTGATCTCCACATCAGGGATTGGTCAAGTGAAATCAAAATATTGAAACTCAGAAGCTTTGCAAGTTGGAGTGATAAAAAACCACTCTTGGGTTGTATTGGCTTCAACAGACACATTATCTTCTCTTCCGGTCGACTGCTACAAATATGTAGAAAAGTAGATGCGGAGGAGGAGGAAGAAGAAGAGGAGTTTGATCCTTTCGCCGTTAAGGCACAGACAATGGGTGTTCAAATCACCATGAAACAGCGCGACGGCGAAACATCAAGATGGATTCCGGCTAAAGCTAGTGATTTGGACGATCAAGCAATATTTATTGGTTGCAATCATGTTTTCTCGGTTCCTACTGCAGGTAGGCCTGGGCTGAGAAAAAACTCAGTTTATTTCACAGGGACGAAGAGATATTGTTCAAATTGGAACCTGCAGGTGCGTGATGCTGCTGTGTTCGACGTGGAGACCGATGCTTTCCAGAGGTTTTTCTCTTTGGATTCGCAGTTTAATTGGCCGCCTCTAGTATGGTTTATGCCCTCTCGGCTTCATTTTGATGTTCTTTCCTAATTAAGGTTTGAAATACGGTTAGTGAACACGGTTAGTGTGGGATGAGTATTCGATGCCACACAAATTTAGCTGATAGCTTACTTGTTTATCTTTAATTATTTTTAATGTATTTTCTAAATTTGAGTAGATTTTATATGTTACCAACTTAAATATAGAAAAATTTTGCTTTGTTTCTAGTAATTTTTTGTATTGTCGAAAAAAAATCCATGATATTGAATCCAAAATTATTCCGGAGTCGCACATTATGAATACAACTTTGTAAAAAAGAGAAAGATATAGAAAGAGATCAATAATGAATAGTAGGAATGTATAGCATTTATTTGTTAAATGATCCATTATTTATAGACGTAGATGATACAGATGTGAGATTATATGTATGCCCTTGTAATGAATATAAGTTTTTTAAAAATAGTAATATTATGCATTATTTGAAGGTATAATTAAATAAAAAAAACATAAGAATAATATGATTTATATAGTATGCATGCACGTGCATGATTGACTATAGATCTGTAAAGGAGCCGAGGCTGAGCTCGTGTTCGGCTTGTTCTAAATTGCCTCGTGTTCGAAATTGGCTCGTGAATAGTATGTTCGTGTTCGGCTTCACAATATTTTTTTGTTCGTGTTCGGCTCGAAATTGGCTCGTTTGAATATAAAAATATTATTTTAAAAAAGTTAATTATTTATTTTATATAAAATTTTTTCAAGATCAAATTTTATACAATTGTTCAAGACATTATCCAAAGAAATTGATTAGCTAAAAAAAATTTACAAGAGAAAATTGAATATAAAATTTTACACAATACGAATATTAATGTTATTTTGAAAAAAATTATAAAATAAGAGCCAATTTATTACAAATTTTATAATTTACAAACTAAACAAGAGGACAAAAAATACAAATAAAATCTCAAATAAAAATCAAAATCTAAAAAACATTTTTTGGACATTTCAATAAAATTTATATTTAATGCATATTCTTATGTTTTACATAAACCTAAAAAAATAAAAATAAAAAGTTACATTAAATTCAAACTACGACTTTGAATTAATTTTTCGATCTTTATGATTGACGAACCAATGTTGATGGAGAGGTTCGAAAACGGGGGATCGCCGCCAAGAATTCTTTTGATGACCAGAAATTGAGCAAGACATTTCGCGGACACCTGTAAAAAAGTTTGACATTAGAAATCAAATGAGATAATTACATATATATATAACTCAATTCTCATGTATTTACAAATTTGTATACCTCCAAAAGAAAACAAAGCAACTCTTAGACTAAAAGATAACAATTAAAAAAGATATGCTGTGAGGTTATAACTCAAACAATCATAGGAAACCCCAATCAATGCAAAAAACTGATTTATGCTTTAGTTTTGTGCCTCTTGGTAGCCTCATCAATTTGCCTGCTGTTGAACTCAAATATTAATAAGTTATAGCTTTACTTGAGTGCATAAAAGCTTGTAGAAAAGTTATTTGATATTCACTAATTAACCAATTATCTTATGAAATTGTAATGAATTTTAGAATCAATTAAAACGATTCTAAAAGAAAGCAAATAAAAAAATTACTTAATCAATTGGATCCTACCCATTACTTCTCTCCTTCATCCATTGGTTAGGAGTGATATATATAGGAATTGAGTGGTATATGTATAAATGCAAGGGTTGCAATAAGCCATAACATTAATGTTGTTTGCTCTAAAATCATCAACTAACTCTCCCCAACCAGCAAAGACATATCATTTTTGAGGCCATGTAGAATGGTAACATTTGACAATCCCAAATCTGAAATGTCTGTCATGAAATGCTGCAGTCCATACAAAAACAACCCTTCATAAAATATGTGAGTGAACACTAGATAGTGAGTTAAGCCCTCTCCACTTCAGCTCATAATGCAAGGATAACAAGTAACTCTACATAGAGAATGTGAGACTATTTGTAAAAATGTGACAACATCTACAAAGATAATTAGACTAGTTGTATATGAAATGAATGTCATGCAATGCAATGCAATGGTGGTGTTTCACATTAGCCTCCTTCGACAAAACTTGTACTCTTTTGTTCAGAAACAAGTTAAGCCAACTTACAACATTAAGTTGAACAACCAGCATATTATTTTTTTAGGCATATTATTTTTTTAGCATTTATTTTTTTAGCATGCATAAAACCACACATTATAATTTGGTGGAATAAGAATAATACATCCATGTAACTGCACTACACAAGGAAGCATGCCCTAAAACACCAAAGTGAAACTGATAAAGTTCAAAAAAGCTTTGGGAAAAGCAGTTTTGTTGTTTTATTGTTGTTTTGAAAACCAAAAGAAAAAAAGGCATAGTATTCTTCACAAAGTATCCATAAAAAAAATCAGATTTAAAGGCAATAGTCGAATCACAGGACAAATGCTTATACCTGTATGAATCAGCACACAAATGCACAATAGCTGAACTAAATTTCACAACAAAGCCCTTATATAAGTAACCAAGCAAGAATTTCGAGCAACGATGCAAGATGATAACACTTCGGTAGACAAACAAGCAACACAACAAGAATTTCAAGAGCAAGAATACCGAGAAATTGACTATCCATGGAGAAATAGAAGAAGAAATTAGTAGATGAACACTAACGACAAACCCTAAGCTCTTGCCGCCGAAAGCTTTTTGCTATTCGCTATTTTGAGAGAAGAAGGAGATGATTTAGAAGAGGAAGAGAGTCGAAACAAAATTTTCGAGTGCAGACAAACAAAAACGCCAAACTCTAAGCTCTCGCCTTCAAAACCCTTTTCGCGATTTTGAGTGGAGAAGGAGATGACTCGGAAGAGGAAGAGAGCTGAAACTTTCTAGAGCCTAATTTAGGGGTTCTTTAGTTATAAAGTTATATATATTATATTATAATATTTATATAAGTAATACTAATATATTATTATTATTAATTTATTTTATTTTATAATTTATATGATTTAATTTTTTAAAATATAATAATTTTTTAATATTTGATTAATTATAATTTACAATATTTAATTTTATGAATATTTATTTATTTAGTTCTTTTAGAGCCAATTCGAGCCAAACACGAGCGAACAAATTTTTGTTTTGTGTTCGACTCGTTTACATTTTGAGCTTTAAAATTTGACGTGTTCGGCTCGTTAGGCTTAACAAACAAGCCGAACAAGAGCTGCTTAACGAGCATAACATGAGTTGTTCGTGAACGACGAGTCAATTTTACAGCCTTAATTGAATTTGATATAGTTCATTCTTTTATGGTACTTGCAGGGGAATGCTAAAGTACTCTGCATGTAAATAGAAAAGAATATTAATATTGAAGTACATTAATTGGTATGTTTTTATTATTATTATTTTTTTCTTAGATTTTTTAGGAGTCGTTAGTTTGTCTATCATCGTATAATTTTCTTTTCGAAGTAATTCTCTCTTCTGAATCATATGGATGATTTGGAGAAGAGAGGAATCACAAGATTATGACAGATGATGATGAAGACAAACGAAAGAAAGTACATGGAGAACTTCTGTAAAGTAAAATTCGTGTGATAGCCCAAAAGTGTACGTTTGAACAAGATCAGATCGAAAATATCTGGAAAACAAATCCACGAAGAAAACTCTACGAAAGCAACCCACAACAAGTAATTTAAGTGTGCGTGCATGTTTTGAGGTTAAAAGTAACTCCCAAAGGGACGTATTCTTTTGGTTAATTACATCTTAGGGCACACCCAAGAATACTCTTGATTAAAGGAATCCTACTTATATTTGAGTGTTGACTAGTAGAGGGTGTCACAAGAGATGATTATCTCAAAGGAGCATCTCGAAGCTTTCAAAGCTCTTGCTAAGCCATATGATAGAGAGTGAGTCTTTTATATCCTAAATAAGTAGTGACTCATCGGTTATCGCTGCCTATGAAATAACAAAGTGGACTCATAGGTTCCTCACTATGCTTTCAAGGCCTAACTAAGCCATAAGGGTAAAGGGTGAATTAGCTTATCTTAAATGGGTGATGGTCTATCCATAATCGAGGCCTACGGGATAACATCGATGAAGCATCGAAAGGAGCGATAGGGCTCAAAAGGGGTAAACAAAGAAATGAAATAGTAATCTTAATGGGGTAGATATATCTGGGTTAGGATACCACAGATTCGTTATCACATGCTATTAGGACCCGCAAGTCTACCAGGTCGTGAAGGTAGTCGACCTAACACAATCAAAGACTCTCTTGATAGCAATTATTGAATTGTATAGTCTAAGATGACCACATAAGTAGAAATCTATATTGGGTCAGTCGGGTTAGAGAACCACCGAAACCTCTCCTTGGGACATGCATTATGATGCAGTTGTCAAATAAGTCCTAAATGAGAAGGCCCTATTAATTATGACTTGGGTGAAAGCAGTGTTATGTAACTCATTTAAAGTCCGACCCAAAGACCATGTAGAAAATAAAGTGCAGATTTTGAAATTCCTGAATATTTTAATCTTAAATTTTAATTAGTCTTAAAGTTTGATTAGAAATTTTTAGAAAATTTATAAATTTTTAAGTTTTAGAGAGCCTAAGTGAATCACAAAATTTCCATGCAATTCACAAGATAGAAAAGACAAAACTAGCAATCACATGCAAGAAGTAGAAAGTATAGCAAGCCAAATCAGAAAAATAAGAAAGTTCGGGTGTTGCTGGTCGGCAACATGTCCTAGAAACGGAAAAGACAATCAGACACCACACAAGCACTCACTTGGCCCTAATTCTATTCATAAAAGAGATTTAGAATTAAGATACATGACACAAGAAAACTACTCATAATTCCCATGTAGTCCGCCAGATTGGGAAAAAAGATATTTGATTTAATATAATATGATTTTGGAAAATAATTGTTTAAATTTGAAAATACGAGACTGAACTGATCCCATATAGACGATAGTTTAATAAACGAGCACAACACCACAAGCAATATATCTACCTCGAAGGATAGAGACACTACTTGCTAATGAGACTCGATTAAATAAACT